AAACAGTATTTCCCATCTTTGGCATATCACAGAAATGTAGAGCCTCCTAGTGATATTTATTATTGTCTATAGTCACCTTTTTTATCCATAGTCATTCTCGTTGGGCTTGGGATTAAGGTATCAAAGTATAATTTGTGATTACATGTGAAATTTAATGCAGTAGGATAATTTTTATAGAGATTAATATTCTATTGCCTCCAGTATTCTAGACAGCGAATACATACTACATGCTCTAACCTCTGTCCTTGAGACAAAAATATATTAGATTATTGATGCCTGTTCTAGACCTCAATATCTCTAAGGTGATCTCATAGTTCTTGGCCTCTGAAGATGCGTTACTAGATGCTTCATTTTTCACATCTATTTTGAACTTCGATATTACTTGTGCTAATCCTCTGCATGTACGAGACATGAGGGTAGAGAGACATCATGCTTTATCATGAAAAATAATTGCTCTCTCCTATTCCTTTCGGAACCTGGGTTCGTTCTTTTCTTCTGTGCTTTGGCTTGCTTTGTACCTCAGTCAATGTCTCGCTAATCTTACTGCATTGCACTTTTAGCAAAAAATTATTTTATTCATAGCACAAAAATGGATGTCTCAAACATCAGAAGGATATTAGTCCCATGATATCTGCATTAATATAATGCAGCATCTTCGATCTATGTATAGAAGATGAGCACCATACTTCGTTTCTTTAGAAAGTTGCTGCATAGTGAAGCCTAGAGGTACTTAGAATCATGATAGAATAATTAATTAAAAGACATGTCCCAAACTATCATACCAATTTTAGCCACTCGTGGTAAGCATAACTTCAAAACCCCTATTCAAGCTCAATTCAGACCAGCAGTTCAGGTCGACAGACAAACAAACCTGAGAGAATCCATCGCATAACACACAGGATTTACGTGAAGTCTCCTATGGAGAATAGAAATTGTGGAATCAAAGTTTTCACACTCGACAACTTCTTATTATATTCGCTCGTTCCCCACGTTTCCGATGCTAAATCTGCACCACCCAGAAGCTGTAGCACTACCCCGAAAAGAGATAACGCCCAGCAAGCTTAGCAAAATTGTCTCAGAAATCCTTCTGGCAGTCCGGGTAATTTACTTGAACCCTTCTGTATGTCAGCGACATCTCCGATAATGTCCCCACTTGAAGTATATTTCTGAGTTTGCTCAAGCTCAAAGTTTGCAACAAGCTTGTTTTTATTCACGAGTTTGGAGGCAAATGAATGGAAATTTGCGTTGTCCAGCCATTTTCTGAGATGTGAGATACATTATGCACATCATTTAGGACAGTTAGAGATTAAGAAAAGTTATGGAGACTGATCTGTGGAGATGAAAGATTAATACGCTGTCATAAATTGTCTGTTCTCTCTAAATGTCTCTTAATTGCCTGTTTCAAGCTCGTAGCGAAACTAATGCTCGAACTTATACTTCCCTACTGCATTCGCACGAGTAAGAAATTCCGCCCTGCGATCTAGTCTCTGGTATTTAGCGAAGAATTCCTCATCCAGCATGAAAATGGGCAATGGTGACTTGTTGAGAGAGGTTATGTAGTGGAGTTGTTGTATTGCTGCCAGATGAGTTTGTTTCGTCAACTTTCATCGAAATCGAGACACTCAACGTTAAGGTTGTTGATGCTTTTGAGATCGGCACTAAACAACCAAATCATGAGAACGCACATTGCGGAACCTAGTTCTTTCTTTCTCCGAGTTTGTCTTCCAAGCGTCGACCTCCTGCTTTCGGTCAAGGATCAAAGTTGAGTACAATATATGGACTGAATGAACCACGAGAAACTGGCAGAAAATTAGAAAATCACATTAGCTTTAGTCAAGCCCATCTCCCTTTCATACCACTCCAATGAAAATAGCCAGAGATTTGAAGGCCACGCAGTGAAAAAGTCATTGCTTCAGTGTCATGATTGGATATTTATCAGAAGATTCAGTTTTAGATATACGCTATGTTTGCAATGGCTTGAAGTGAGAGTTAGTCCAACATCCCACTCAGAAGTTCCATCATTCTGCGCTGTGTTACACAATCGACGCCACGATTAGGTGAGACAAATCTTATCATGCTTCAAATACATCACTGCTTTACTCATCTGTTCATCTACGCGAAAGGGTAAAACACCAAAACAATCGTTGTGGTCATTCATGAGGAGCATATGAAACACGGATGATCGCAGCTATAGTCGGTTGGTCTGTCTGTCTGTTGTAGATCAGATGAAGGTGCTAGCACGGAGTCAGAAATGATATCTAGTATCTTCTCTGCCCTCGGAGGTAGCGAGAAGACATCACTCAGAGGCTTCGTTCATACCAGAGCTGCTTGCATTCGTGACACCAACTGCTTGATATTCCTTTATAATTTGATGCGACAGTGTAGACCTTACTATTTGCAGATTATAAGGCACTCACCGTTCTGTCAGTCATGAGGAAACTCGAAGCCAACGCATCCATTCGCTGAAACCCATTATGTCTTTCGAATACATCTCTTCTTCTGGTAGAGTTGTTCTACATCTTCAAGTCCTCGAAGCCTTGGACCTTTTTTGACTTGAACCATTCCATGCTTGATATGCTGATGTATTTACGATGAAAAAATATTCTTTGAAGATGAAAGATAGCGGCCTGATGAACAAACCCTCGGCCACCAACGCCTTTTGCATATCTTGACCCAATGTAGTATGGACAGAGCATCTTAAAAATACAAGATCACTAACACACCACACTGAGGGCAAACGTGGACAAACTTCACATTCATGACAGAGCTGCTTTGGCTGTGAAGCAAAAATCGGAAAAAATAATAACATTTGCCCTTCTTTTCCAGAAGGAAATGCTCATGAGTCACCAAATTGTCCCTTTCAATATCAAAATTAGTTTTCTATAGCTTACACAAAATCTGCTACGTCCTGGAGATCCCATTGCCAATTTCTGATACTTAACCATCGTACTCGACAATCTGAAAATTGTCGATTATCCTGATTGATTTTACTCAGTCTCCTGATCTTCAGATTGGCAGGAGATTGAGCAAAATGTCCACGAAATCTTTCCCTTTTAAGTAGAACACCGTACAGCAAGAACCTTTAACTGATCCTCAAGTTCATTTTCGTGAGAAGAAGCTGTAGATCAGTTGAAGTGTTTGGATTCAGTTTCACAGGATCCAACCTTTGAGGTCCGCGGCTGAAATCAGCTTTTCAGCCAAGTACCTTACAAAAGTGGATAATGAACGACATGAACAGACTCATATCGTGTCATGAGTCTGAAATCGACACCTGAAAAAATGTCTTCCCCTTGTGATGAACCCCTCCTCACTTGTGACTCCCCAGTCTCTCGCTGCTTTTTGGTGGTGATCGGAATACAAACTGTGTGAACATTTAAGCACTTGGCCTCTTGAGGGTAAGATGTGAATGTAGTCCTGTGAGTCATCAGATTCACTAATACGACTCCAAGCAGGCCGGACACAGACATGCGGGACCTGTCTCCGAACAAGTCAATGACACGCATACATTGGTCGGGAGATGAACCGAGACTCAGTAAAACTGGCCAGAACAATTGATGGGTTGTTCTTATTAAATTGAAAGGCTAAAACTAGTCATGAAATGTGAGCCCATGGTTATCAATACAAAATGAAATTCGGGGTATGTATAAAAGATGCTATTTATGTGTTCCTAACTTAAGCTGTAAATATATCTTAATCGTATGTATTTATAGTTAGTTCTCATTATCTACAGAAATTAATATGATAGTTATTTATGTAATATAGTAGTTCATGGCGTCTATAAATATACATCTATATCTATATCTACGTGGGTCCCGGATGATGCATGATGAGAACAAATAATATGCAGTTTTTTTAAAAGTCAACTGTTGTTACTTTGAAAGTCATTGATTTGATTCATTGGTGAAGACGCAATTCAATTTTTAGGCAAGATTCAGTAGATGCACTAAAGTCAATCGAAATATTGTCCGATTTCTAAAATATTAGACAGTACCATTTGTATCATCCCACGCAACCTTTCTCTTCGGCAGTTGTGACCTCTACATGGATTAAACTACAAGAAAATACATACTAGTTTTTTTGGAAAACCAGAGTAAGATTCCAAAGAGTTTGATTTGATAGGTTAAAAATCACCCCTCGCGTTTTTTATGGTAAAACCGAAGCTTGAGAGTCAAAATTGAGCATTTAGTTAAAGATTTTGACCTTGTTGGATGAAATTCCTGTACTCAAGGTATTTTTCGTGAGAATCCTGTATGAATATTTTATAATGAAAGATGTCGCAGGAAAATTATGCTCGTGTAGATTTATAATGAACGTTCTAGAACTGAATGATGAAACTCTAGAGACATGAGAGTAAGGTCTGAGCGAGAGTTGGAGCTAATATCATAAATCTATTTGTTTTTAACCATTTCACTGTTGATAGGTGCCATGTACAGGATACTTATGGTTGTTTACAACGTAAACTGTGAAAGTTGAGATCCAAGAGTTAAGTATAACTTTTTAGAGTTTCACATTCAACTGTTAAAATTTTAAATATATAACTTATGATGAGCTCATAAGAACAATATGAAATATTGATACGATTAAATTAAAAACTAAAATTAAAATTAAAGTCGTAAGCTTATCCTTGAATTATGCCAGGACATTGGACTAGATGTTCAAAACTACAAACTTCTATCATGATATGCCTTTCTGTAAATTTTACCTTTGTTTTCAGAGTAGTGAAAGTTTTAAGAGTGTATACCTCCATATATGAATAATTATAACATATGTAGAAGGAATTTTACCTATAAAATACTATATGTAGAAGCTATGAAATATTAAAAATCATAATTTCGTTCGCTACATAAACATAAATGAAATAATATATTTTTTTCTAATTTCATTCTATTTTGAGCATATAGATAAAGAGACTTATAACATATAACAAACTATATAAAATATTCATTAAAAAATCAATATTTCCACCTAATAAATTTTTGGAACCCGAATTTGGTGGTGCAATAAATATTATTATATAAAATTCAACAGCTTAAAATCCTTTCTTATCCATCCTCGATTAAAATATTCCCAAGAGGAAGTACCCAAGAGTCGCGAAGCCAGCACTTCAGTCAATGAAACGCGCGACAAGAAGATTGCATATATTCGCGATTTCTTGCACAACACATTGCGAACAGCCACTCACTCGTTAAAAATCGTAACGGATTCAGCACTGAGTTATCTGGTCATTGGCACGCAAGAAAAAGTAAACGTGACAGCGGTCGATGACGACCGGAAGCTTAAATTGGAAGTCAATGCGCAAGAGAAGTCGCCTCAATGTTTGACTCTGTGATCCTAGCACCTAAAATCGTCCGCGCTCAAAAGGCCGGCCTACTGGACCGTCCTACGGATTCCTGCATTATCCTCCGGATCACCTCTGTCAGTCACAATATCCGCATTCTTCTGGGGGAGCACGACGAACTTCGTCGTGCATCGGGGCCAGAAGGGCTCGGGCTGCCTCGAGACGGACGTCGAATCGGGCTCTTCGCAGTCTGGTCGCATGCAATTTTCGGTCATTCGATCGATCGCTAGGTGACGAAGTTCTGTACTGGAGAATCTATGGTGGGAAGGGGAAATCTAATGGTGCTCAAGACGGACGTCGAATCAGGCTCTTCACAGTCTGGTCGCATGCAATTTACGGTCATTCGATCGATCGCTCGGTGACGAAGTTATGTACAGGAGATTTTATGAGGGGAGTGGAAATCTAAGGATGGACCGATCCCGACACGGCGCTGACTCCGTGGAAGAGTGAGCTCAGCACTTTCTGATCGATGCCAAACGATTTCTCGAGCACATCGCTGGGAATTTTGGGGTCGGAGTCGAGGAGACTGGTGGCGATCTGAGACACTCCGGGGTTTTGGCTGCTGAGGAAGGCGATGGCGAGGGCGCGGCCGTTCCCGCTCTCCGTCTGGAAGTGCACCAAGCCTCGGGGAAAGACGAAGAGATCGCCGGCCTCCAAAGTGTTCTCGAAGAGCTTGTTCGTCGTGTCCACGAAGCCGACGTCGATCGTCCCTTCGACGACGAAGAGCAGCTCCGATGCTCGAGGATGAACGTGCGGCGGGTTGACGCCCCCTTTGCTGAAATCGATCCGAGCCGCCGAGACTCCGAGCGTGTTCAGGGCCGGGAACTGGCCGACGGCGGCGGGAGTCACCACGGAGCCTAGAGCGTTGTTCACCTTGGGTGAATTCTTCAGCCCGCCGAATGTGAAGTCCTTCGCGTCGACTTTGGCCACATCCTTGCAGGGCAGAGAGCCGTCACTCGTGGAGTTCGCTGCGCACATGAAGAAACAGTTTCGCAAATCCGGTCACAATTTCAGAAGCAATTTCAGACACGAAGTTAGCTGCTGCTCGAGAAAAGACTCCCTTGAAGTGGACCCATAATTCCTCACCCCATAACACCTTCCTCACCACTACCTCAGAAATACATCAGAATGAATGATTTCAAGCAGGTACTGTTATCATAATGGCCACTGACGACAGCAGAATGTGTTTAAGGTAGAGCTAAGCGGATAATCATTCAACTTGAAGCAATCGGCTGTAACTATTACTACGAGAAGTTCCCAACAGATTGCAGCTCACAAATCAGGAGGGGAAAGATTCAGAATAACCTCACAGCTGAGGGAGCGCAACGATGAGTTCTACGACTTGTTTCAGACGATTTGTGAGCTTTGAGATAACGATCAGAGAGAAACCGTATCCTAAACCGAAGTAGCATAACGTCGCAGTTATACTTTCAACATGATTCAGACCGTCCAGTATACGATGAAGGTGTAGATGACGGCCCAGATGAAAGTCTGTGAGTGAGGCTTCTGTGAGGGTGGCGTACCTGCACTTGCGTTATATGCTCCCATCTTGGAAGGATCGTATCCTTGTTTTTCCCAGTCGCCGACCTCGGTGCCAGTCTCCCAGACGTGCATGTCATGCGGCAACACACCGACGCAGAAATCTGTCAACCCGTCGGGATCATCGCAGCTCACGAATTTTTCCTGGCCGATCAAGCACACGGCCGCAATCGCCACCACCACTCTGAACGTCCTCAACGTAGCCATGTTGTTGATCTAGGCCTGGCCCGAAATCACCCAAATTGGATTCGTTATATTTATTGTCCTCGACTAAGAGGAGATCAATCGATGAGGAGCGCGGAGGGCACTTCGTCCGCCATAGATCTCCTCTGTTCTCCACAATAAATGTGCATGGGCACTGCTAATATTCACCGGCAGCGTCTGATGCTGCTCCAGGACGGCCCGGCCCTATCCTTGACCGTCTCCAGTCGAGCCCGTCCTGATGTGAGCATGTTTTACAAGCTATGCATTACAATGAGGAGTCATCTGCGTTGAAATATCTTCTCGAAATAGTGCTCATTTTCTCGGTCAATAATCAAGTCTAAACCACAACAAACTATTATTTTTTATGAATAGGAGGGCAGGGCAGAATTTCGACATCACAGTCGTCCATTGGAAAATGTTTCCTGAAAGCTTGCATTATCATCGAACAATACATACGTCAAGGTTTTAGCAGTGGCAAACATACAAAATTACAAACAATCTGGAGGTACCTCTGAAGCATAAAATGCATGCTCTCTAAGTGTAGAGATCCCCTTCTGAACCGAAAAGTATCAAACTTCGTACGAACGACGAGGTGAGTGTGCAATCTCTTCTATTCTCTAACCAAGCTCCTGCAAGTTACGTGTCACCAGGTTCACTTCGCTGGTGTTCCAGGACCCGGTCGTGGTCAGCAACTATGTCGACCGGTTCCACTGGGCTGTTCTCCGTCTTACAGTTAATGTTTTAATTTTTATGATTTAATTTTCATACGATGAACTTGTTTATGGAACACAATGAACAAGACATGCTTACTACTGAGTTAGCTTTAAAAACTGGACTCTGCATAAATAAATAAATAAATATAAAGTCCTTACATGGCTTTGACGTCGGATTTATCACTGTTGGCCATCGTGATGATTCTTCTTTGATGAAAATTGGCCATGGCCCTTAGTAAACGGGATCTAACCAGATGGTTCTGGTTGAGCGCTAGCTCGACTTAAAGAAGATCCACCATCCCAACTACAGACTGCGAAGAGATTCCGTAACTCGCATAACAACGTTGACTAGTTTTTTCGGACACTTTCGCTACCATTGATACGGGTTACTAAAACCCGTATCGTATAGTAACCCCTGGCTACTTTTGATTCGAAAAGCAGGAATATTACGAGATAGTGCTTCCAAGTCCACTTGGCCCGCTTGTCTTGTGCATTCTTAAGGTGGTTAGAGAAGAAGGAAAGTTGTGTTTCAGTCCTCCAGAACGATGTGAATGGTTGATGTAGATGAGATCAACCCAGATATCCTATACATGATAAGAAAGGAGGACGCCTGGAATAAAGTCCGACCACATTTGCTGAGGTATAACGTAAAGCCAAAGCCGGCCAGAAGAACCCAACCGGTGGATCAGGGAAAATGGGGAGATTTGATAATTCTTGTGACAGCTCAGAGAATTATTGACAGTGCCTTCAATGTTTTCAATCAAAGCTATGGTTCTCCTAATAGGAAAGGCCGAAGGTCGCTCATAATGTATTCCGCATGAACCAAAGGTGATTATATTTCATTGAAGTATCGATGTTTCTCAAAATAGCTATTAGACACAAAAAAGTTTGCAGGATGTTCGAGCTTTGAACTCGACGTGAATCGAACACGCAACCTTCTGATCTGGAGTCAGACGCGCTACCATTGCGCCACGAATCCTTGTTGCTGTGATAATAAAAATTAAATATCTAAAGATAAAAATTTTGTTATTGGGACAAGAAAATTTTCAGTCCATGGGCAGGAAGGACTGACTCTAGAGAAGGAAAACGTTCACTGAAGTCTTCTGACCCACTCAGACTCGTCGCAAGAAGTTCTGCTTGACTGACATGCTCGTCTTGGGTGGATCCTACTTTCAGTCTTTCGCCCGGTGCCATATTTACTGGCTTTTACCCGCGGATTCTGGTCTAACCAACAGAATCGCACGAAGTCGGGCCCCTTCTAAAAAATTTATCAGATGCAAACGAGAATCTCCCAAATTATCAATTTTTGTGAGAGGATCTCGTCATGGGGACGTAGAGGTTTGCTGGTTCACGCCACCAACAGGATTCGGTCACAAGTCTTTTGCGACCCAGCTGAGGGTCTTTCTGGTAGCACTGATGGCTTTAACTGGTACACGACCAGGCCTCTATTACGGTCAATGAGCAATGTCTGAAGAGCATGTAAGGCACCCTTGAATGGATCCCACTTGATGGAAGGGGTCTTCCCGTGCTTTCTGTTATTTTATCTTGTACTCCTTCTTACTCTATTGAAGTCATACTTCTGAAGAAACTTCTAACAAAACCACGTGTACCGAGGTGAGGGCGAAACATTCTGCTGGTGCTACCTGCCAATGTGTGTGTCCACCGTTTGCTGCTGACAAACAAAACAGGAAATGCCGACAGAGTGTTAAGACAAATCGATATAGGTTCTTGCTGCAAGAATTTTTACGATGTGAGTGATGAAGTCAGAGATCAAATCCTTCTCTTGACCGAGACAACGATTTTGTAAAGAAGGCGGGGAAGGGCAATAATTTGTCCTGTGTTCCCAGAAGAATAATTCCACGCTGTGGGCCTTCCTTGCAGCGCTCTAGTGGTAGAAACTTATTTTTTGAGGCAAATGAAAATGAAGAACAGATAGGAGGAGAAAGTGTCAAACTTGGCTTCATGTCTCTGGAGTCCCTTGACTCCTCCATCACATATCATAATCAGGGCACCATGCGTAGGCATAACGAGATGTCTCTCCAGATACAAATATTCTCGCGAGGCGGTTATCGCCGAGGAGTCGACTAAAGGTGACTAGAATCGTGTTGAAAGCCGAAGAAGCTTGGCAGATGGATCGCCGTCTTCAATTCAGCGCCCCTGGCAATTGATTCATGTTGTTGGTCCCCTTGACGGGCAGACAGTAATCACTGCTCATATCATCGTATATTCCACCTAGATTTTAGATCTGAGACCTTTGGGATTGTTTCCCATGTTTCGTGCGATCTGAGTTAGGATCGACTGTACACAAGATCACTTAAGCACACGCTAACAAGTCGCCGTTATGGAAATTCTAGTTGCCACTGAAGGATTCGATGGGTGTGGAAACAGAGCATCCCACCATCGTTCTGGGACTGACTCGTTCCGTCGGTCGCAATAGTTCTGAAACTGGACGTGATCGGCAATTGACTTCTGCCAAAACTCTGAACATGAGGAGGTGTTTTCTGGTGGACTTCGTCGGATCCAGTTGTCTGCTGGCAATCGACCTGCAGACATTGCTGATGAAGGTGAAGCAATTATTCAATTACAAAGAGAGATATAATTAGTAAAGCGTTAAGTTCATCTTGAGAAATCGAATTTCGCGTGAAGCAGGGTCTTTTTAATGTGGAAGAGGCAGTATAAGGATAGGTTTTGGAATTTGCAGCAATTCTGGAGTGAAAATTTATTTTTGGTCCCTCGTATTGGGAAGAAGTCAATCCAACTATAATTTTGATTTGTTAGAGGGAATTTTGCGCCTATGGCTGACGATTTTTTTTTAAATACTTGAGTTGTATGGTAGAATTACTAAGTGAGAATGATGGAGGAGTAGATGTCGTTGGGGCTAGTGGTAGTGAGAGCGAGTATGTCACATCAAACTCTGCACAAGGCGCGGAGTTTGATGAGGCGGATAGGGAATAATCGCGACGGTACATCCATTCAAGAGCAATTTCCGTTCCTCTCATACAATTGACAGTCCTGTGCATATGATTTGAAAAGATTAAAACCTTTTTAAGATTTTGGAGTAGGAAGAATCGAGGTGCGAGCAAATGACATTATATCCATTCACGAGCAATTTGTGAATATGATTCGAAAAGATGAAAACGTTTTTAAGCTCGTATACTTAGAATTTCTTTTCGAAGACGTACATTCAATCCGTGTCCGTGTCCACCTGCTGTTGATCTTGCTAGATGTATATGCATGTGCAATATTTTCCAAGAGGATAAGTATTTGATAGTATCAAGTAGTAAGGTCATAGAAGATGCGTATAAGGCTGGTGATGAGCAGAATGGAATTTCCATAGAGAAAAGTTTAGTAATCTCCGGCAAAAGTCTTTCAATCTGCGTTCGCTACTGCTAACATATTACTTCTAGCTTGTTTATCTTGCTGGATGTATTTGCATGTGCAATATGTTAACTTTTTTGAGTACCAAGTATTTATTAGTATCAAGCAGTGGATCATAAAGGACGCACCTAAGGTCGATGATGGGCAGAATGAAATCTCCATAGGAATAAGTTCAATAACCTCTGACAAAAATACTTCAAAAGTGATGGATCCTAACATGTTGAGCATTTATGCAACATTTTTTCTGGCAGTCACATTACAAGTGGATGACATGATTGAATATGTTCTAACAACTGGTACGGTGGTCAAGCTTTTGGATTATTTAAGAATCGGCACTCTTGGTGAAATTAAGATGAAAACCGTGCTTGCTTTAAAAAAATAGATCTCTTATAAGTGATAAAGCAAGTGAAGAAGTACGTGGCAAAGCAAGAATACATTTGGATTCATTGTGTACGGAGAAAAAACCGGAGTTCTCAGAGAGTTGAAATCAAGAAGGTTGATACGAAGAAAACCAGCACTTTGAGAGAGTTGAAATTAAAAAGTTTGGTGAGAGGAGTAGTGAGCGTGGAGCTGATGTAAACGAGAAATGGAAAGATGAAGAAGGACTTGTGGAGGAAAAAGATGATAGAACCACTATTGAAGCTTTCAATCAAAACGGACAGACTTATGACGCCAACAAGTATGTAATGGTAGGTGAAGATAAGACACGGCGCAAAGACAAAGGGGACTTAAAGGAAAGAGTAATAGTTAGCAGAGAGTGGTTTGGACACATTTGTCCATTAAGAGAAAAAATGGATATAGAGCTCGGTGAAGATAATAGACGTAGTTAAAACAAAGGGGATTTTAAGCAAATAGTATTAGTTAGCATAGAGTGGTATGGACACATTTGTCCATTGAGAAAAAAAAATAGAATGTAGAGGTAGGTGAAGATAATAGACTTTGTAAAAGTGAAGGGGATTTAATACAAAGAGTAATAGTTAGAGTATTGTGGTAGGACACATTTCTCCATTGTAAAAAAAGATGAAGAGGAGAGTTAAAAGCATAAACTTTGAAGCGGAGTAGTGACATTTGTGCTAAGGAGAGTACAGAAAGAAAAGAAAGAAAGCGATGATGATGGAGGTATTAAAACATCATCAACAAGTGATATTTGAGGTGGATAATTCTTCCATGGAGGGTGGTTGGTGGATAGAGGTAACAATAATCCCACAAGTACCTCAGAGCACAAGAAAGGAGCAGAATGAGGTGAAAAAGGAGGTTCAAAGTAGCAAAATTAAGTACAGAAGTAGGTGAAAAAGGAGGTTACAGTATCGTAACAACTACCTCGAAGCTACTCGGGGCAAGTCTCTCCGCAAATATATGGCGAGTTTTTTATCAAAGAAATTGGATTTTTTTTTTGCATGGAAAAATCATGATAATTATGTCACTTTAATTGATGATATATATCATGTGCCATGCCAGTCACTTTGATTCAAGTTCTCAAATTAAAAGTGATAGACAAACTCTGTATCTTAAGATTTCTAATTTAATCCAAGTATTTAGAAAATGCTGTTAATAATTACATTCAATTTCAATTTCAAATTTTTTTTCTCATTAGTGTAACTATTGTGTGGCACATTTCTTGGACTCCTCTTCAATTAGCCCATTAGTTTGCAGTTGGGTAAGTCCTGAACATAATGTTCTCTCTTGTTAAGTCAACTATGAATAACTTCATTTACACGTAAGCAAATTTTTTAACACAAATTTTAACATGGATGGTATATATTTTAACACAAATTTCTATAATGTACAATAAGCATGTGTCATTAAATCGTTTGTACGCTTTACCACAAATGCCTACCAGATGAAATTGCACTTTGTAAACAAGGACAACTCCTCAAACTACGAACAATTTACACTCCAAAAAAAGTCTGTCTACATACATGATATACACAACAATTCAAAAGTTGCTAACATTCAGATTATTTAAGACTAGCTGACGGAGATATAGACAAAATTCAGGGCATTTGTTATATTCATTCTTATCTAAGTACAGGCCAATGAACTTGTGGAGTAAAAGTGGACTATAGCACGCATTGGATTGATCACATTGTCATTCAAGCAAGGAAAATTCCAACATTCAATAATGCTTCTCAACAGGTTCATAAGTTTATGCTGGATGAAGCGACTAGTTTCCACCCCAGGAGTCTCAAATTACTTTAAAGCTCGTTTGATCTTTAAGCGGTTTCTAATGCTACTTAATTTCATCTCGCTGATGCTTTTATCTTATACGCTCGTGCGGCAGATTAAAGTGCCTAGATTTTTATACCTCTCCTTCACAAATGAGCTTCCCACGAATTTTGTGACAGATGCCAACCTTGAAAGAAGTAGAACTTTATTCCAGCATAAACTCGAAACATAAAAAACTGCAATTGTAGTCTTCAACGAGAAGACTAAAAATATATTGCGATTCTCTTCATTATCATGTCATATAAACCATAAGTCTTACACAGAATTGTCTCTTGTGTATATAGTCCCCAGAAGTTGGCACTGAAGTCAACAGCGTACGAGATGATGTTAAACATAGATATCCGTCGATAGAGATCTCGCTTGCGGGATCGGTGACGTAAAACCCTATTGTCGTATGTTAAACCTGATCGCGCGCTAACCATTGGAAAACATTTCTGTTTTGTTGAAACTTTTGACCGATTGCATGTAATCTCCTCGATGCGCGTAGGGCAGAAATGCTTCTCCACAGCGGCAAATGCTGAAAAAAATTGAGCTTTAGACGGCTAAAGTTGCAGCAGTGCGCAGATCAGATCGGATTGGATCAGGAGAGGCACTTTCCTACTGCTGTTGTGTTTGGATTGTAATGAGAAGTGTGGGCCGGCCTTCTCATTTTCCTTTGTCGGTTTAGACGCTCGAGCGTATTGTTTCTCTCATTCCCCTCCAGCTTGCCTACAACACTCGAGTACCGGACAGTATTTGGCATCAGAGGACAGGTCGCCATACAATCAAAATCCAAAATGGAGAAGATCCCAACATTTTTTGAGTATTTGCTGCCGTTCTTTATATTACATCAGAATCCCGTCGATGAAATGGGATGCAGGCAACCAGAATGGATCTACATGAGTGAATGCGAATCGCATGATTCTTCTGCATCGCATGAGACTGGAATTTCGTGGCGACCATTGGAGATGAATTCTTATTAGTTAATGTTTGTTGCGTCTGGGTAAACGGCCGGTCGTCAGTTGAGTCCGATAAGATGCAAAAGGCCATCAAAGATCACGGAGAGGCTGCACTGAATATTGTAGAGGTGGTCTGCGTTACGAACTGATCACAACTGAATAGGTTTTTCCTCAGAACTCTGCACGTCCGATCTTTGAAGTCGTTTTACTTGACCTGGAAATATCGGGTTGCGACTGTGATTTTGCAGCGTTGAAGGTTAGAGTAGCCATCTCTCACGTACAGAGGAATTCCAGTGTAGGGAGAAAATCTCGACACCTTATAACTCGAGCTTAGGGACTGCAGTAGGAAATATACGTATCGGATGTAGCATGAAATAAATAAGAGACACTACAAACATGCCCAAAGCCCTATTTCGTTGTCGAAGGTGAATGCATAAATGAAAAACTCTCTGCTTTCAGAGGCAAAACAGTGCGTGCCTGGGGCCCAGGTAAAGGTCTCCGCGTACTGGATGATGTGTACACAAGCAAGACATTAACTACTGAAGCACAAACCACTTGAGGGATTTTGTATGCGGCCAAAGTTTTAGATGAAAGACGAGTTACTGTGATCATCCATCTTCGAACATTTACACAACCTTCGATCTTTCGACAAAGCGCGTTTCTCCTGAATTTCTGCCCGCGAAAAAGTACGAAGAGGGAGGTGCATGGAAAAACAGAGTAAGTTTGCGGATTACTAGATACTTCAACCTAGAACCGCTCTTCTCTTTTTGAGAGAAATCCACAAGAGATATCCCTCACTCAGATTGAACAAAGATTACAACCGTAGTGTTCACTAAGCACGGCATAATAACCAGAATTTGCTACGTCGATTGAGCTCACAATGCGAAAACTGAGCTCTTTTGACTAAGCATCTGTTGTGGGGTCTCACAATTCCACCCACCTCTTAAGCTGCTACCCTGATAAATTGCGGAGCATCAGCTTGCTTCAGATGTCTGTTAAATAGCTAATGGCTCTCGAGGCCACAGATCAGAAATGATATAAAAAAATTGAATCCCGATTTCGAGCAACCCGACACCACCCCTTGATGATCCATGAACCCACCCTAATCCTCGAGTGAGCACCTTGTGCGCCGACAAAAGAGTCCTCAAGTCGCACAACTTCTGACCAGCTGTGAGAAGGACCTCTATGCGTGCAATGTTACATGTATTTGAGAAGTCGTGGTTATCTAACTCAGTTTTCATTTCATCCACGAAAGGATGCTTTTTCAACGTTGCCCAAAGGGTCGGCTTCAGAAGTAAAGCTCATCGGAATGGGTGTTTCTTCTCCAGAGGCGTAAAAGAGACGGCATACGGTTCCCATCCTCAAGGTGTGAATGTGCCATAAAAGATCCACACGTCCAACCACATCCCGATCAAATATGGGCCTGCAAGATCCCCAGCTGCGCAGCCTGAACAGATTCGGTGAATAGAAAAAGGTTGTCAAAACCCATTGTAACTTAGATTACTCCGTACAAACTTTCATCAGATATGGGGATGATGATTTTACTGGTAAAATAGGTCGTCACAGCAGATGAATATCCAAAAAAAAACACCGGAGGTATAAACGATGTGCAGAAACACTCATCGCTCAAGACATTACTGCTGGGGAAAGGAATATGCGAGAACAAGCATATGTCAAAAGAAAATGCTTACCTATCCAAGTTCCCGTGGACGGCTTGATAAGTATCGTACCAAGGCCAGCTCCAACAGAAGCTAAAACAAGAGATGCGCCAATTTTGAGGGTGTTCCCCGCTGTTTTCCTTATCAATCTATTGAAGTCTTTGTTGTTATCCTGCGCTATCTGCTTCCTGCCTTCCTCCTTTTTGGTGGGGAAAGAAGCACGGATGTACCTATATATGTCCAAAACCAGTTGAACTACCCAGTTTGCAAGAACTCCCAGTGCATGTCCTGCAACACAAATTTGCAACATTGTACTTAGAAACAGGTCTACATATGACGCATCGCTCAGTCATGAAGTGAGAAAAACTGTACACATCAGTGAGTGCATGTCACAGCCTAAAAGACCATAGTAAAACAGGCCTAGCGTAGTAGAGCTAACATGAGGAGATTGAGTACAGAGAAAAGACTAGATAGTATTTGATGGTAACCCAGAAAGGACTAATTGATATATAAACGCAGACAAAGGACTCGCCTGGACGAAAAAAATTCTTTCGTTTAGGCAAATCGTTATTGCAAGCATGAATCTAAAACTTCATATACAACATTCATAAAACGTCGCGTGCCAGAAAGCCTCAAAGGACACAGACAGGCGTTCTATTTCAACAAATTGTACAAAACAATTGGTGACCACTCATCTCCTGCATGTCAAGTGCTTGTATCCAATATTGAGCAAGTCGTTAGCAAGAAAGGTTCAAGTTACAGTCTACGTGACAGTGAATGCTTGGAGATGAAAACATAATGAAAAAAAGCTGAAACCAAATCTTATTCCCTGCTGTAGTTTGAGAACTATATACCTCGGAACGTTGTCTTGCAGACACCAAAAAATAGCTCGAACCGAGTAATATCTCTTGCAGCTTTACGAACAGCAGATTTTGGGACATCTGAAAATCAGTGTAACTACATTGGATTAATGCCTTCAGAGTATGTATTGTTACCTTTACGTATCACATAGGATCTTAAATCTGAAATGCACTAGTAGCTTGACCTACGAAAGATGTCCATTGAGTCATATATAGAACGGACAGTAGATATATAGATACAAAAACATTATAAGAACAATATCGGGAAACCCATTTTATGATCAAGTAAAGAAAGGGTGTGATCTACCATCAGCCACGGCTCTAGAAGTTAGAGCATTTCACTAATTTTTAATTTATCAGTCCGGTCCTGCCTCAGTCACAGACCTTTCAGAAGTTTCCATGCCATGCGACGAGAGGTGTAGTGTACAGCTGCCCTCTCCAAAATCCTCCTCGTTGTGATCACTGAAACCTGCAACAGACAGCTTCCTCTTTAGTAGGAGGGTGACAAATTTAGGAAGAGCAGATTAGAACTAGGAAATAACTGTTGTAGAGAAAGCTAATTTCAAAGCTTCCTCCTTTGCATTCAGGTGTGATATACGTATAAGAATCCTACTGTTGTGCGAATTCAATTTATATCTGTAATATGTTAGGTGTCTGTTTGTCCGGTATTCGTCCTCCTTGGGGTTAAGGTTAGCACCTCCTTTATGTTGTAAAACTTTTCATGGTGAATCCATGAAAGAAGAAGCCTTATTGATCACCAGTTAGAGTATGATTGAGTCTCCTTCAACAAACACAAGTCTTACCTTTATCATAGAAAAACATATCATGATATTCAAAGTGTCCGAAGGGCACGGATAACCACTAGTACTGAATAATTACTTGGAGGTTTGACCTTCCCATCTGAAAGTTCGCAAGATGAGAAAGTTCGGGAATTCAGGAAGTTAGGTTCAGAGAGATATCTCAGACCTGATACCACATCATCTTCGAGCATAGAAGAGGGAGGTCAGGACAGTCAATTAACTTCGAATAGGTGTGAGAATCAACAAAACTCATATAATGGACAGAGTTAAAGGCCAGTTCTCCAGAACTCAAGTGTCATTTTCTTCCCCATGAAGGTTTGGAGTAGGAAATCAGCCCAAAAAACACGAGGTAGGCTGAATAGCTTCTGAGCAGTCAACGAAAAAACGTTGATATAAAAAAACGTTAATATTCCTCATAGCCCTGATTTAGACAAGACGGAGGTTGGTGCGTGGATACTACAAAAGATCATACACAAGATTTGAACCTTTGAATCCGTAAAGTTGATCCAAAGACTTCCTATGACGAAAGTACAAAGGCAGGAGATGTTATATCTTTCCACTTTCCAGCTTCGTTTTCAGGTTGTGTGAAATGTATGATCACTTACAGAAAGTTCATTATTCATGATGCGTCAGGTGTTGAATGCACGTGCATTTCATACATTGATGCCTATCGGTATAGACGCATAAACTGTGCCTACTCCATTCTCTCCACAATAAATTAATGACGGAGTTCACCATATTCTCATTTAGCACGACTGACTAAAGTTTGTCAGCAAAGAACAGAAAATTTACCAAAATAAACTCTTGGCAAACTCAAACCTGTAAATATTATACAAAATGTCTGCACAACATAGCAAATCCTGGTTTCTCACCTCTCGAAGAATATGTGTTATAGAGCGTTTCATGGGGACAATGGGATCGACTGGCATTTTAGGTGGTCGATCCACATCTTCATCGTCATCATCCTCTGGTTGGATGTAAGCCTCCAAGAGTGAGAAGAAATTCACAAGACAAGCCCTGACAGTTGTAGCTCCAAGAGCTCTCGGTTTGAAGGCGGAGAACAAAGGTTTCAGCTCAACGTTGTATATCTTCCCAGCTCCCTCCTGCTTTAGTTCCCACTGAGGTAACCAGCGAGAATCAGACCATGGCTCCTCTTCGTCGTCTGCCTCCTCACATAGTACAAATTGTCCTGTCCAATCCCTGTGATACTCACTTTTGTTAGCAAAGGTGACACTACAGTAAGGACGTTCGAACTGAAATCTCATGACGATTAGAGCTGCAGAACGAAAGAACACAGTAGGATAAAAATTCACGGTGCAGAAAACCTCGTGCATGCAACCATCGGTAAACAAAGCACCATCAGGATAAAAAGTAAACAGGTTTCCCCTGGCTACGGACTCCTGTGGTAACAGAACTGATGATGAAAAGGTCTCCGAAAGGGAAACATTCAGCGATAGGAAGATTTCACTGAGACGATTCACAAAGCATAAATCAATTCCAGATTTGTATAGTCTTTCGTGCGAGGTAATGTGATAGTCTTCTTGATTTAACAAGTTCTACAGCTCGTGGAAAAACTGTTTATTGACAATGCTCGCATTAACCGCCCGAGCTTGGAGTGAAGCAAAGAAATTTGATGCTCACCTCGACTGAAACTGAGAATGGTAGACGGGATACGAAGGCAAAAAGGTCACTGCCGCCGCGGCGGCCAAAGCTGCAGATAGGGAACTGAGCGACGAGAAAGAGTGCAACGACTTAGTGGTCGTTGCGCTAGTCCTGAGCAGATCCAATGCCAACGCTAATCCTGAGCCGGAACCTGCCATCTTGCCTCGCCGGGCTCTTCTCTTGGGATTTCAAAACTATTCAAGGCCGGGTGGAGATTTCACCAACCCCTACATAGACGGAGCAAATTCCTCACCTCCAGACCTCGTGCTCAGCTAAAGCTTCCCTCCACACCGTTCCACAGCACCTACAGAGAAATTCTACTCCGCATTGCTGACCCTCGTCCCCGACATCGAATCAATCCTCGATCAGGCTGGCGCTGCTCCTCCTCCTGCTGCGACTCTCGACCAGCCCGACCATCAAAACCGGATTGAGGAGGCCAATTGTCATACGATTTTTGAATTCGACAAAAATTGTACTCTGCAACAAACTCGCCGATGCTTCTGCCGGGGCTCCCCACAGAAATCAATCGGTCGACGATCTGCACGCGGCGATCATCTTTCTTTCCTCCAGCCCCGTCCCAGCGCCATCGGCCTCCCTCCCTCCCTACAGATCTTGAGATCTCTCTCAAGAACAAACTGCGATCGATCGTTCTTCCTTCTTCGACCACCTGCTCCTGCTTCCCGGGTCGGGCGGGCCGGACTGGGCGGGCCCGGGGCTACCTGGGCCCTATGTCGTAACCGGAAACTGCATACAGCCGGTACCCAGTCACCGTCCTGCGACCTGCAACTGTTATCGGCAGCATTTTGCTCACCAATGCTGCCTCCAGCTGTTACTGAGCGTAGGTACAGCGGCTAAATTTACACGAGGATGTGGAAGCCCCGAAGATTCGCTATCGGGAGCCCATTTTCCCTCGATCTAATCATTTCGCCTCCTATCTGATGAGTATTCACATCCAAAATTTGTAGACTTCCGATTAGGATGATCAATTTACTCAAAACATGTACTTCAAGAAATGTTTATATGACTAATACGAAAAAACATAACCTCAAGAAAATCTAATCGTTAGGTATGATTCTGGGAAAAGCAAATAATCTCGCAATCAACAGGAAACCATTTCCTTTTTTAATAAAATCACGGTCAATATCAAATTCTTTTATAAATCAACCATGGAATGTATTATCCAGAATTTCATATGCAAGACTTTTGAATCGGATAATATTCCCCGTACTTTAAGGAGTGCAATTGATGAAGGATAGTTTACAATCGCTACCGAAGGAGTACGAACGTGGGGATTAGTTGCCAACCACCAATCACGATACTTGAAATGATGACATTCTTGATACGAGAAGAGGAATTTGCTCTCCTAGACGACGTGACGACGCAGTTTTGGCTGGTAGTTTCTGAGTACTAACTATCAGAGACTCCTACTGTGTTGTGTACATCTGGAAAAGCCCCGAATTTCGGAGAACTTCTGAGCGAACCACCTGTTCTGTGAGAGATTAGTTGAAAAGGTCATCTCATGATTTCAGGGATTGCGGCAAGACAATGGATACTGTTAACCCTCCAATACGGCGAGCTTCGGTTACTAGATAGCTAGCTCTCTAGAATATTGTACTTCGCTTTTGTTGAGTAAAATTCATCTGCATGGTCGTATTCATGGACATAATCTGTAAAACTTTCAGATTTCCGAGGCAAAAGAAATATATTCTTCATGCGAAACACAAAGAACCAAGGATAAGATATTTTTCCACTGCAGAAAATTCAAATCACTTACGACAACATATGCAATTTCCATGATTAAGTCTAGTGCACTGTGCATATGGTACACTGTCAAAAAGTTACTGTGCCAGGACCAAATCAAGGCCAACACAAACAATGCATCTCTGGTGAAATAGAGGAGTAGCGATAAATTGACCAACGGCTGTTGGAAGCTTGAAGAGACCACATTTGTATGGCGTCTCTATCTCTCTCATTATTGTTCCATGAACTTTCGTTCTTCTGCCTTGACAATTAATTCATATGACACGCTAAATTGAACTCTGATCGTACAACGTTAAATTACACTGCTCGCTAAACTAGAACATTTTGTTAGCTACAATTGTATACAACTAGAATTTTCTTCATAATCTCCCTCCCGTACTTCATTCTCCAACTCATGCTTTCATTCCAAATAGGTCCGGTTGCAGTGATTTGCCCCATAGGCAAGCAGCCACCGCAATCAGCTACCTTTCTCGGGCTAGCTAGTGGGGCACAGAAAACTCTCATGCAGCGTGAAACGCAATACCCCTGAGAAACTTGGGCCAAAACTACAGGGTGTTGAAAACTCCAGGCTGGAGACATGGCAAGATGATAGACGGAGCCTGCTATGTTTCACGAAGGGAACTCACTGTGCCCTACTCTTAAGAGTGCGGGCGGCTATAACTGCAGTGACAGTACAAAAACCCACGGCTATGACAACTGCTACGGTAGCAAACCCGGTCTCACTAGTCTTCATATTTCCCAACAACCCATCTAGTCGGCCTCTCCTTTTGGTTTCGTAAGCCTTCTGCTTCTGTTGATTAGGGTGAACCAGATTGTCTCGCACTATGTTGCTGAGCACATCCAACTGGGTTGTTATGTGGCGCTGGCCTCGAGCTAATATCTTCACCTGCAAGTAAACAAACGCAAGACCTCTCAGACCAAGTCCGAGTGGATTGTTTACCACCGTTTACAATTCACGGTCACAAGGCTGCGACTGATCACAATAACACAACAAAAGACTGCGTAACAAAGTTCATCAGCCTCTGTCTATTAATAAGACTTCAGGCATAAGCGCGGCCTGAACTTACCTCTTCAACCAAAGTGGACTCTAATGGACTTGGAGATATCGAAGTAGTGACAACTCCGTTCGGTACTCCCCCGTTACAATGCACACCATTGCTTCCAAAAGAACCCACAGCATGAGCATTACTTGTCGATACAAACGAGTTTGTACGTGCGACGTTTCCAGAAGCAGGAAACTTCGTCTCAAGTTCGCCCAGTCGAGAAAACAACTCATCTAGGCGCTCGTTCAGTCCAGCCAACTGCTCCGCAATTTTCTGATAATTCTGTCCAAACAATTGGAGTCAAAGTACAAACTCAGTTCAAACTCCGGTTTGTTACTGGATGAAACTGTTCTCAAATCCATCTCCATTGATGGCAGAAACAAAACAGGGTCATGGCACTTCACAATGCAATATAATGATCCGTCTCCTACAGGGCATGTCGGGAGTTGGAAAGGTGATGAAGGACACCTGGTCAGCAAATGATGCAGGAGAATCCGGTCCTCTGTCTTCAAAATTCCGCTGCTTGTTAGAATCAGAGCGAATCGGAGTTGGCTTGACCATCAACCTACTAGGTCGCGGAGGTTCTGGTTCGGTACTATTCTCAGTAACACTGATGACAAACACAAAACACAGAGAGTGAGTAAATTTATCCCTTTAATTTCACAATAGGGATAAACTTTGGAGTGAAGACCCTAAACTGCCCCGTTAAGTGAGCATAACACTCCGCACTCCACACTCTGCACCAGAATGTGACAAAAATGTGTGCAAGAGCGAAACTCCATACCTCTTATTCATATCCTTGAACACATCCCTGGTCCAGCTGAGGCTGTCAAATGAAAACAGAACTAATTAAAGTTCTACCTACTTTTGTAGAAACAATATAGGCTCCCTCTCATCACCACACTTTGTGGTAGTCAGCATGTTAAGAAAAGCTAGAGTTCTTAATGACAACAAATCCGTACCTTCTGCTGTATAAATTGCGGGCACCGGGCTTCACGTCCGAAATCCATGAAAAAGAAGGCATCGGACTTGAAATAGTATTCTCGTTAATCGACAATTTTTCTCTCAGATCATCAGGCAACGCCTGCACGCATCAAACATGGACCCTAAGTGATGAGTATTAATTCCGACTAATCGGGATATATAATCGAATCGGTCTGATGTAAGTACAGACCGTAAAAGATTACTAATAGCAGTATCTTCCTGGTTACCAAAAAACACCAATGACTTTGGTGCAGAAGCTAACTCTTGACACCTTCAAAAACTTACCAACACCCTTCTCCAATATAATGGAGAGCCAACATCTGTGGGATAACCCCTGTCGGCCAACCTAAGGTTCGTGATGGGCAAAGGTCTCCCCTTTGTCACAATGGGCTCAGGAGTTTTCTCCTCTGCCTGGATATCAAGCACCACCAAAACGAAACATGGGTTGTTGAAGAACCAGGCAGAGGAGGCAACCCATTCATGGAACCGAATAGGTTCGTAAGGCTATTGCTAAATTAGAAGCAAGAAAGCGAAGAACTCTCTTACAGGATACCCAAAAAAAAAGGACAAATCCAGCAGTATCATGACATGGATGAACAACAGATAGCTTCATAAACGTCAGCACAATATCAGATAACTTCCACCCCTTGATCTAACAAGGGCTATCACCACTAGGATTGCATACCTTTAAACAACCGGGCAACCTCATCTGAACGAACTTGAAGCTTTCATTCAAAGAATTAACAACAATCCATCCAGTCGGACCACTTTCCACTCTAGATCCATCAACTTTTGTAAGTTTTGTAGTCCATGACAACTTGCTGTAGTGAAGTAGAAAAGAAAGTCTTAGAAACAATACCGTGACTTCAGCGGTAAGCTTTTCGAGTTGAATCTGCTCGATGTAAGACCGAGGTATATACGTTCCATCCAATCCCAGCTTCTTGGCAACTTCTCCAACCGTTATCCTATCTTTACCTTGAACCTGGTGGAAGATAGTAAATTCGTAATGGTTTGTGAGATGACAATTTATGTAAGAAAAAAAAAAGGGTGAAATAAATGAGCTACAATTCTTTTCCTCGACCAGTTGAAATACCAGACCGAAGCCATCAATCGGGGACTTCAACAGCAGCACCCACCCACCTGTATGTACCTCCTCTGCAGCTGTTCGAGCTTATCAATCTTCACTACAACTTTATCATCAGCAAATACGTGGCTGGTCCGCTTCAAAATTGTAGCCATTTCATAGCCAAGAGCCATCAAACCTCCAAGAAGACGGACACTAACTTCAAAGGTGATGCGTGGTGATATGATGAAAGGATTGTCGGTGACCCATTCCTGCAAAAATTGGATCATCAAATGTCTCAATCTACCTGGTCATCTCACCGGCAGGAGTCAAAACACTCTTTACCAAATAAAAATTCAGAAACAATGTACAGCAGAATATCGAGCTCGTTTAAGAGAAAATTTACCTCAAACATGAGACTATATTTGCCATCCCGGTTACGCATCCTTAGGTACGATTGACATGTTTCTGGATCTTCATTAGGTGGCAGAAGATAGATGTCATACGTTTCTTCAGTTGTCATTGTATGGTCTTCCGAGAGTACAGCCCGAATTTCCTCTTCAGTAACAACTCGAGCGGACTGAAATTATAATTCCAGATATTAGCAACTCTTTCCATCAGTCAAACCACACCATCAGACTGAAGGGGAGATTTGGTGAACCACAAAGGCTTCTTCCTTTATTCTCTAAAATTAGCATAGGAATCTACTACTGCATTTCATCCTGTCCTTGGAATTCCTTTTACAAGCTAGTGATAGAAGAGCTGAAATTGAAATTTCGATCTGTGATAACATCCAATAAGCCGGACTTCAGAAAGTTCGACTGAACAACTTCGATGCGAAAAAAGGCCACTACCTTCAGGATATAAGTAGCACTCTGAAACCCAGAGAATGGATTGAACTTGTTCACAATTCTTATCTGCGCAGTCTGTAAATCTGGTTCGATGAAAGCTTTGTACATTGGATACACCTGCAATTCATTGACGGGGACGATGAGAAATCCTAAAATGCTATCGATCTGATCACGGAAACGCTAGATTCCAAAAAGTTCTTCCAAAAAGCCATTAGAAGTCCCCCATGATTACCTTACTACTCACAACACAAGACATGAATAACCAAACCCGTTACACTAGATCGTTTCATTTTGAAGTTGGAAGAGAGCCTCACTGTTTCGGAAATTTGATGAATAATGTCTTGGGGAGCCTGGCCGGACCGATTAATGTCCCGAAGCACCCTCTTGACGAGGTCAAAGTGGACACCCCCCGTTACTGAAACTCTTAAATCGAGAAGTGGCCGAAGCCTCTCACTTAGAGCATATATGCCTTCAATAATCACAACCCTGGATGCAGGCACATCCACCGTCCTGCAAAGGCCATGGCAGAAATTGAAAAGGCTTGAAATAACCATCATAAACTTTTCGAGGACAAGAACACAATTTGCAACAAGCAGATCGACATACAGATCTCAGGCAATTTTTGATCATACCATATCCTTCGTGATTACTTGTATATTTCAAGTACTCGTCACATTTTCCGAACAACATTTTGCGGGGCCTTACTTGTAACCAACACGCTTGCTGGTTTTGAAGTCATAAATAGGCACTTCGGCAGGCCTTCCCTCCTTGAGACAGCGGATGTTCTCCAGGAGCGTGTCGTAATCAGTAAGTCTTGGATCTGCATTGTAACTCCCTTGTTATCAATCGTGACGTGCGAATCTCCTAACTTTGAGCACGGCTGACCTTGATGAAGACATGTGTGCGAAGGGAAGAATTTTGAAACAACTTTTGCTCGCTGAATAACTAGGTAAGACATCACCACCAGAAACTGGCTAAATAAGAACTGGTAGTGTACTGCGACTACATAATGTGGTTGGAACATGTCGTATACGGATTCCACATCGTTCTCTTCAATGATTATCATGTATATGGCAGCTAGAACAAATCTGAAGTCACGAGTGAGGAGAAACGAGAACACTGACCGTCATAGTTGCCATCCACCAGACGGCTCGCATCATTGTAATTGTCCATTGAAATCATGGCGATGCCTGGCATGAAGTTGCTCACCTTCTCTGTAAATACAGTTTTTCCTGCACCGGAGGGACCGGCAAGTCCCACAAAGATAACGCCTTCCGTCTTTTGAGTAAGGAGTTGCATTGCTCGGATAAAGAGAAAAAATCCTTTCTCGAAAGACAAAGAATCGGGAATCGGAGCAATTTCATAGCGCTCATCCACACAATCCTTCCTCTTGACAAGTTGCAGTTGATGCTTCAACAATCCAGACCGTTTTGAAATGGACGAGTGTTTCAAAGCCGCCTCCATTTTCATTCAGATAGACCGGGCCACAGAGCAACTTGAAGATACTCCGACTCCCAGAAATTTCTCTTTGCAGCCGCAAATGCCACAAATGGAGTCCTAAAGATTTTCCTTCCAAGCATTCAACGCCCTAATTCTCGAAGGAAGGGTATTAAATGACGAAAACATATTGAAAATCAGTTGGAGAAAATGAACGTCCCAACTGATCACCAGCTTCTGCCCCCAACGCCCCTGCCGAACTTAGACAGGAAATAGCAGGCGAAACTCCGCTATATACTTTTCGGCATCTGCCTCTGCATCAACAAAATTCTCCCAAAAGGCGAGACCACGCCTTGGCAGAAACTCTAGTTCGTAGATGGCGACCAGCGCTAGCACTTGCCACGACAAGACCAGGGCGTGTTGACTTGTCGAACAAATTATAACAGGATGGTCGATGCTTTCTTCCAAGCGGAAATGACTGTCCGTCAATTGTTCAAGCGGCAGACGAGTCGCTCGATATATTCCGTGTCTGCTGCAGTCGAATCCACGGGGAATTTAAGAAGATCAGCAATATTTTGTGCCGGCCAGCCAAGTGTTCAGGATCCACTTGCCCTCGTTCAGCCGAAACAGAGTAGTGGAGGCCACTTTCAGGTGGACCTAGCGTAAGGCTTCGACAGTCTCTGAAGGGACAACGCAGCTGTCTTACTTATGCTCCTCATGAGGAGTGCTAGTTCACTCTACCTAGCTAGCGATAAAAGCTCGCCAACCCAGAAGTAAATCTCACCAATCTCGCTTTCTCCAGGAGAAACCAACGCCGTCTTTCCAAGAGTGGGCCAAGAGGATCTACTTCACAGAATTTTCCAATCCTGACCACAGCACCGGATTTCCAAATAAAAATAAAAAAAAGTGCAGAACTGGTTCGTCAGAAGGAAAAAGAAAGGCCCGATAGCTAATCGATGTACTTCCTCTAGGCTCCAAGAATCACCAGCCGCACACAGCGAACCCACCCGGCCAGTCGCTGCTAGTCCAATCAGTCCGCCTCAATTCCTCCCACCACCACCACGCCCACGACGACGACTCCGACTCACTCGAATCTCATGAGCCTTTCCAAAAGCTCCGAATGAGAATTCAATCACATGTGCCTACAGTAAGTACCGCCTACGTCCCAATTCTCCTTTGCCTCGGCACGCGCACTGTGTTATCTCCACAATTCTCACCGCCGCATAATGCTTCTCCTCGTCCTCCACCTCCTCGTCCTCCTCTTCTTCTCGCACCAGCCTTTGCCTCCAAGCAGCTCCACTCCCTCCCCTCCCCTTCCACTCCCCCCACTCCCTCCCTCCCTCTCCCTCGCTCTCTCGGCGTCCGTGTGTCCCTGTCTCGCCTCGCCCACCGCTCTGCTCTGTCCGCTTCGGCTGATTCCGAATCGTCCACCATTAACAGCAGCAGCACCACCACCCGCGAGTGCGCCTGCCTCCTTCCTCGCCTTCCGCCTCACAACCGCAACGCAACAGATTCCACCATTCTGACCCACAGCCGCGGTGCTAGTCATGACTCCGGCCCAAAAGCGCTCCCGGTTCTCGGATCCCGAGAAGCCGAACCAGCGCTCCACGCCACCCGACAACCGCAGCTTGCCCTCACCGGCGCTCCCGGTTCGGCCGCGCCGGGATCCCTTCTGCCGACGGGACGCGGGCGGGGCAACGGTAACCCCGCCTCAGGGATCCGTTACTTTCCGAGCGTCCGGAACAGTTAGGCCCCAGCGTCTCGGCCCGCCTTCCGCGCACCGGCGATCGCTCCTGAAGCTGAAGCTGGACCTGGAGCCCTCTGGCCTCTGGCCGTTGGATCGTCGGCTGGCGCGGCTCTATTTTCGTCCCTTTCGCTCCTACGGTGGAGCACCGTACATCGCGCGCGCCTAGCCTGCAACGTAGGGCGAGAAAAGATTGTGACACGTAAAACAGACGGTGATTTCCATGCGCCGTCGATCTCCATCGGGTGACAGACGGCGTGTACGTGGCGGATTTTTTACACGTAGGGCTCGCACCCGTGCGCGCGAGAGCTGTCGGATGATGGAATCTGACGGCATGAGCCGAGCACATTTCTGGGCGAAAACGGTGAGAAAATTCTTGCTAAATTCTTTGTGCCGTTCGATTCAAGCCATCGAGCGGACGAGCGTCGAGGACTAGTGTATTCGACGCATGGTAGTGTATACCGAGACTCTCTGACGCGACCTGGAAGATCCATGATTGGTCCGGCGGACGGATCGTGTGCATCCAACGGCCTTTCACGGCAGAGAAAGCAGGGCCTTCAGCCGACTGGACCGCTCCTGCTCCTGCCCCGCCCTGACTCGAGAATCTGGTCTGAGACTAAAGGGAAGAAAGGACTTTTTGCCAGATGTAGTGCTCAAAGAGAATGTTCCTTTTCTTCGGTATGCTGCTGGTACTTTTTAGTCATGGGTGGCCCACTTGCGTTCCCACTCACTCTTTCGCCCGTCATTTCTCTCTGCCCACTTTTCTTCCCCGACTTGGATGTAGCTAAATATTGGGGACGCTGGAACCTGCTCCTGTGCATACCAATTTAATCCAACCAATTAGCTGATGTTCGTCTGCGACAACCAAAACTGTGCACTGTATACACTATGTATAGCCTCACGTACTGTATCCTGCTTCAATATAAACGAAACAAAGGTTCGAAAAAACAGAAACCCCATTACACAATTTTCTCCAAGATACACCGGAAATATGTCTCAAGTCGAAGAACAGCAATGGGCTGCTTTTTAGAGGATAGCTCACAAAAGATTAGAAGGTTACTACATTTTACAGTGAGCAAAAAGTTGGAACAGGAAGCTGACTAAAGATAGCGTATAGAAAAGAGCAAGTTTTAACCTTTGTAAATCGCATTAATCACTTGGATACTCATAGTGGGGGAAACTGACTTACATTCTTGATTCTCCAAAACACGATGTTCCAAATCGAGATGAACAAACGGATTATGTGGAAAAAGTCAAGGTGATGGGGTCTTCCCATCCTTCCTTTGTTGTTATCTGCTTGGACCCCCCACCCCCCACAGAAAGTCAAGCAACGATGTAGTCGTTGCAACTGTGTTGAAAAAGAGTACCACTTTGTTCAAGGACAACCAAGGACATATGGAAATTGTTCAGTACAGGTTTCGTACTGATATTCTAGCATGAGACCCATTTAATGCTCCGGGCGAGAAATAAAGTAATTGTCCATGGTTGGCGCCTCACTATGTAGTTACATTAAGAAACATCATGATGTCTTTCTGCTCGGAATGGAATATTTGACAAAGCACTCTTTTGACATGTTCATATCCAAAAGATAAATGTCACCATGATGTAATTATGAGAAGCACGAGGCACGATCAGGTGGTATACGCCTCCTCCTGTTGTCCTAACTTGTCCATCTTTGCGACAGCATCTGTAGTCTCGAATGTCAAAGAGAGAACATCAACGAAGTATACGCAGACAATTTTGACCTATTCGTCAGCTGTTCTATACATATTTACCATCGAGTTTTCCTATGCGAGTAGAATATAGCATTAGAAAAAGATCGTTCCTACTATGTGGAATTGCTTTTTTTTTCTTCATGAGTAAGGTAATTCTGACTAACATTTGACCAGATGATCCAAATCTTATTCCATAAACAATTCTGCCTACCCTATTTGACTTTCTTCCCATGCATATAGCAAGAAAGTTAATTTGTACAATTGAGACATTGGCATAAAATATCGATTTGTATATGTAATTGTCTAAGAGCAAAATGATACTTATTTCCATCTCCATAAGTAGTGGAGGAATAAAATGATTAACTATCTATAATGATAATCTATCTAGTGTTGCACTTTTTATGTGGTCGCATTTTTTAATGTATTTTATAATGTTTTTAAAAAAAATTAATTGTTTTTCCAAAATCAGGTGAGAACGTTTCATTCATCGAGTATCATCTTTTCGAACTCCTCGCCGCCCAAATACTGGTCCACAATGATGCATGGATCGGCCACGCGCCGGATTTCATCTTGCTCAACTTCCTCATCATCGACAATATCTTCTTTCTTCTCAATTTCCAGTCCCGTAACCTCGTCTGCCAGTCCAGTCGATGCCAACATCGCATTGTATCGATCGTTGCTAGGGTTCGAAAGTATACATGTATAATCCATTTCATTATATAAATTATACATGTATAGTATACGTATACTATACACTGTCCAAAAAAGCTTTATTCCTATTCATTTTCTTCTCCATAAGCATCTACATCATGGTCACTCTCGTCTCCCGTCATGAGTGCCATCATATTCCCCTCCTTTTCACGCAGTCTTGCATTTGCATATAGTACAAGACCTTCTGCCTTTTTTGATCCCAACCCATTTCTCTGTTTTGTATGAATGAAGTCATAAATGCTCTAGATACGCTCACTCACCGCCTGTGAGAGAGAGATAGCAAACAATCTTTTCGCAACTTTTGCCAACTTTAGAATATGGGCACCTCCTACAACATTTCACCAAGTATCTTCATCCATACTGCTAATTACGAAGTTCCTCACTTGGAGTTGGGTTTGAGACCAAAGCTTGAAACAGTTGCATTTCTGCTTTCGCATCATCCTTGCTGTCAGCAATCTTCAATCTAGTCACTATGTAGTATTGAATGAGCTCGAAAACTTTAGCTAAATCACTTCCTCAGTCTTGGTCCAGTCAGATGCCTAGAGCATGATTCATGCTCTAGGCATTTGGCTGTCTGGCTAGGAAAACCAACCTTCCCTATTCGGAAGTATACATGTATAATGCATTTCATTATACAAATTATACATGTATAAAGTGTATAATTTGTTATACATATATAGCTATAGGGCAAACCCTAATCGTTGCGCTTTGTGGTCAGCACTCGCTTGAGGTGCGCCGAGTTGTACATGATAGCGACCTACTTCTCGCATTTGTTTTGTCCGAGGCACATGCGCTGCTTCAAGCGAACTCAATTGTTGGTTTTGTGGTTCCTTTCACCACCAATAGCACTTGCTAGGTTGCCATGCACCTGGACGAGTACTTTTGCCAGCTCGCAAAAAACATCGTCGTCTACTTGAGCTCATAGCAACGCGGGCTTTATATTGCACGCCTGCATCAAGAATAATCCGTTCATAAGCATCGCCATAAAAAGTGCAAACTGCTCTTGCAAGATGTCACAGACCTCATAGTCATTGCTAGCAATATGCTTCAATGCCATGCGACACTCCTTCATTAAAAAATCCTGCCCTAGCTCCACAAACGACGATCCGTGCAAACGGCCGACTCACAAACGCATGTTATAATACAATGGGTCAGTGACAAAGACTAGTGCGTGTGCGGGCAAGTAGATACTTTCAAAACGGTGATGCACAAATCCTAGCAACCTTTGTCAATCAACCTCAAGTGTATCCAGATGCTCTAATCGATGCTTTGCACGTGGCACGAGACGTTGAGTAATTACGCCCACATGATCAAGAACGTCCTTTCATCACCTTCCAAATGTGCAAGTGCAGCACAGAGCGGTCGCAACAACAACAAAACCGCAGCCCTCCTTTTCCAATTGGGCACATCCAAGATGGCGTCGAACAAATACTGGTCCATCGTTACGTTTTTGTACTTGTCATTGTGATCAATGGCATTGGGCATGCCAATCAGGATCGGTTTCATCAAAAAGTTGTGTTTGAGCATGCTGTTGACTTTGTCCCACTAGAACTTTGTGAACAGGATGAGAGAGTTCGTTTTTTGGAACTTCTTAGTGCACTAGACGTCAAACATGGTCATCAGCAAGTGCACGTTGTTGAATTTATTTACAATGAAAACATTCAAAGACATGAACCTCTTCATGCTGGACTCCAAGATCAAATCCAAACAAAGGTAATGCAAGTTGTGTGTAGCGCAACCAAAAGCAAATGTGAAGAGTTCAGATTGCAATGCTTGCTTGCGCTGACACTAAATGACTAACGGCAAATCTGTTTCAAGACACCACATTGGCTCCTGAATCGCTGCCGGCGCTCGCCTAGCATTGGTGGTTGTGACGATCACGTCGTCATAGACATCAATGTCATGGCCCAATTCCAATGACACTCGCAAGTGACGCTCGAAACTCTTCAGCTTGTTGAGGAGATTAATAGCGATCTGCACCTATCATGCAAATCCATGTTGAAATGCTCATAAAAAAACTCCTTGGGACCACAAGCCATCATGTTCAAAACCTGCTTGTCTGACTTGTTTGTTGCACCGTCAAGCGTTATGCAAATGATCATAAACTTATCAATTTCTTGAGCCGCATCTGAGAGCACCACGA